TTTTTGGTAACGGGGGTTGAACTCCGGTCCTTGCGCTTGCAATGCAAGGCAGGCCACCGAACCGCTGAGCTAAATCCCCGGCCCCTTCCTTTTTTATTTATTTATTTTTTTGTACCGGGACTCAAACTCAGGACCTCATGCTTGCGAGGCAGGTGTGGTGCCACGGAACTAAATCCCCGCCCCTCGAGTTGAATTTTAACCTTTCCTCTTGACACCTTCCCCCCTTGCATATTCAACATTTGAGCGCTCCAAACCGGGGATTATATTTTCTGCCGCTTCAAAGGCAAACTCGGTCACCCGACCTCGTTCGGCCAATGAAATGTTAGTCGAGTGTCGTATATTGTTTCCGGGCAGAAATTTGAAGAGGCAATGAACATTCGCTAGGTGTCCACCTGCGCCCTAAGACCTGTTCCTAGATGGCGGCTATTGGATCAACCGGCGTCCCAGAGCTTAGATGACACGGGACTGGCAGCCACACTGTAGGTGCTCAATAAACGGGATAAGTTCACGACTTGGCTTTTCTGTATGCAGACCAGACTGGCGCGCACCCGGCTTGGGAGCTGGGAGGGTTCAAGCTGAGGTTTGTGTCGCTGCACGCTTATGCAACTCCGAGGAAGCTCCTGCACTGAGTCCGAGGCCCGTGACCTTCTCCTCTCTGGGGAAGCCCCACCTCCTCCCACCACTCACCTGCAAGAGCTGCGTGGGGAGCTGCTGGAGTGGCAGGGCACTGTTAGCCTCTTCCTGGGTTTCTAAAGCCCGGGGCAGCCAGGAGGGCCACACAGAGGACCACAGGCATCTCTACCCAGGCTTTTGGGGCCAAGCCTGTGCCAGTTCCTTCTGCCACTCCAGACCTCCCTTGTCCTGCAGGAACCTGCGGCATCCTGTCACCTGGACTTCCCGTGTAGTCCTCACCGTTTCCTGTGTTTCACGACCCTTTCACAGTGGGTGTATTGGCACCTTGTCCTGGTGTCTTCCGGGGTTTAGCTTTTCTGCAGTTTTCCTCTAGCACCAAGCAGGTGCTCAATAAAGACTGGTTTTGCTGTCCCAAGTTGGTGGCCGGCTGCCTGCAGACCAGTGCTGGATGGTTAGGCCAGAGAAGCCAAGTGGTGGTGGGAGGGCCTGACCAAGTGGGTCAGGAGCCAGGATCCACTCTCTGACCTCAGACCTGGGCTCCAAGTTCTCTCCCGGCCTCTGTCCATCCCGCCCCCCTCCTTGCAACTGGGGACCCTGAGTGGACCAATTCTTTCCCAAGCAATGGGGATTTTGTGCTTAGGACTGGGCCCCTCCCAACTTCCCACCAAAGATTTGAACCAAGGAGCTTGCAAAAGCCATCTCTTTATTTTTCATTCCTGCCGTTCAACCAGTTTGCTCAAGCTGAAGATGAGTGGGCTCTGGAGGGGAAGGTGGAGTGTCTGTGAACAGACCCTCCTGGAAATGGTTTATGCACATGGCTGAGGCTGGTTAGACTTGAGAAGCAGTGTAATAATAAACTCTACAGAATTAGAAATGTACAAAAGTGTCAAGCTGGCTGCTGGCTGGTTTCTTGCCTCCCCGTGGAGGTCAGAGTTGTACCCATCTGTCCTGTGCAAAGGTCCTGGGGCTGACTTGAGGGGCTGAGAGTCATTGCCAGGAACAGCAGCAGACCTGCTCACCGAGTAGGAATGTGCCGACAGACAGGCATGCGTGTGTACCCGGGCACTGTGGGCCCCTCAGCCTCCATGGCTCCTTGAACGCGTCTCCGTCTCTGGCCTCTATGTCCGTCCTTTGAAAGTGTTCATGCAGGTATAGGTTCCTGAGAATCTGTGGATCTCCTCCAGTGCAGCCTGTGGGAGTATGCTGGGGAGGCGGGGAAAGAAAAGAAGACTGTCAGTATGGCGGGAGACAGCTGCTGACTCACTGGTGGCCACACAAAACAGGGCAGCAGACTGATGGTCCCTCTCCTCTATTGCTCAGCTATATACTGAATTCCCTATTATCCACGCCCTGTTTGTTGAGCAGACGTGGTGCCTGCTCTTGGACTTCCCAGCCACCAGAGCCAGGAGCCAAATAAACCTGTGTTCTTTACCAATGACCTAGTCTGTGGTTCTCAGTTATAGCAACGGAAAAGACTAGGCCAGCATCTCAGGGCCACATCTCACACAGAGATCCATCAACTCCAACCTTCGCTTCTTCAGCAGAGACCTCCTGTGTGGGACTCAGGCACCGTTTGGGTGTCACAAGCTCTGGGCAGTGTCCCACAGGCCTCTCTCGGTGTGACCTAGATCTGGGCTGCCCTGGGGTCACCTTCACCCGTCCATCACGTCCCACACGAGTGCCTTCACGGCAGATATTTCTTCTCGGATCCCCGGCCCCACAAAGGCCGTGGTACAGAGGGGCCCTGGTCTGTGTGCTGAATCAGACTGGAGACCCCTGCCCACTCTAGGTGCAAGGCGGGAAAGGCTCTCACTTCTGGGCAGAGGCTCTGGAAGGCTCCCGGGGGTAGCAGCCCCGGAGTTTCCCATTTGAGGATTTCTCTCTGGGAACGCGAGGAGGGGTGCTGTGCAGGGATGGGCAGGGAAAGCGTTCGCCATGAACCTTCCCCTCTGCTTTCTCCCGGCCGGCTGGCCTGTACCTTTTCAAAATAATGAGGATGTGCATGGTCCACGGAAGCAGGAGGAGGGCCTGATTGAGCTGCACAGCCTCCACTGTCCTCCGGGCCACCGTCTCTGGCTTCAGCGGGGGGAAGAGGTTGGGGAACCTGAAGGCAGGAAGAGACAGTGATTTCTGCCTGAGGAGCAAGCGCTTCTGCCAGAAGCTGCCAAGACTCCTGTGGCCTCCCCGGAGTGAGAGGCTTGAGTCCCAGACCTGTGCACCTGGGACCCTGTCTGTGAAGCCGAGGTGAGGTCCTGATGCCCCAGGCTCCTCCCTCCCGCTCCTCCGCAGTCCTGCGAAGGTTCACAAGTTCCCCCGTCTTGACCCCCTCTTCCCGGCTCACTCTTCTGTCCTTGTCGCCTTACACTCTGCTATCAGGGCCTTTCTCTAGTTGTTCTAGCGGCCAGGCTCACTCTTGCTGGCTCCCGCTCTGGGAGGCCTCTCAGCCCAGTCACTGTCACCCCGAGTAGCCTCTGATCTCCTCTCCTTGCTGATCGCTTTGACTGCATTTAGCACATCTAGAATGGCCTTGTTCCCTTGTTATTGGCCCATATCCCGCATCAGACTGTGAGTTCCATGAGGGCCGCAGCCTGATCAGTTTTGCTCCCCGCTGTGTCCCATCCTCATCTTCCCGCACAGTGTCCAGCACGTAGTAGGTGCTCAATAAATACTGAAAGGCCAATCGGCTGATCTATTTGTTGTTCCCCAAGAGTGTCCTGCTTGTCCTACCTGGAGGCCTGGTTCCTCATGCAATGTTCGAGTCCCTGATTCATGCAAACATTTGCAGAGTGCTTTCCATGAGTTTCTAAATGAATGGACGATTGCACAGGCAAACATCAGGGGCTTCCCGTGCCTATCACACGTCTCTCACCCCAGGCCTGGCAACAATGCTGTTTCTTCAGTGCCAGGCCTGTCCATGAATCATCCTCTCCCACTGACAGATAAGGAGACAGAGGCTCAGGTAATGAGTGGGAGACCCAGGTCTGCAGGAGCACCAGGCCCCTGCCCTAGTGCCTTCCTGCCCTGCTCCTGCCACCCTCCCTGTCTGTAGGTGCAAGGCCGGTGCCGCTGGCTCTGACCTCAGCTGCACAAAGGCTGTGTGATCTGCTCTGTCCTGTTTCCCTTTTCAGATCACGATGGTGCTTCCCAGAGGTCTGCAGTCCAGAGGGGCAGGCCTGTGGGTTCCGCAGAGACCAACACGTGCGTGTACGCATGCGTGATGAATGAGCCCTGATTGTGGGCCCGGTAGATCCCGTGGCCGATGTGGACTCTCTGCCTCCACCTGCTGCCTGTTCTGCCTTTTGGGGAAGAGGATGAAGGGCAGATGGGCCAAGCTGTATGGGTTTGGGGGGACCCCCTGGTGAGACCCTGTCGGAGAACTGCAAAGCAACCTCAAGCCCGCCTGCTGGTGGGATTTTCTCCTTTCTTTTCGTGGTGGGTGGGATGGTTGTCTGGGGCACTGGCAGAGCTCTGGCCTCCCACAGAGGCCACACAAATTCCTGGAAAAAGCGTGCTCAGAGAGCCAGCTTCTCAGCCTCAGTTCCGTTGCCTATAAAATGGGGATAAGAGCTGTCTTGGGGTTGCTATGAGGGAGTAAGTATAGGGAGATGAGGCTGGAATATAGACTAAATCAATAAATAGAGACTTAAACTCTGGGTGTGTATAATGGGAAGGCCCACCCTGGGGCCATGTACCAATAGGCATGTAGGCTTGGTAGAATAAAAGGGAAGCTTGCAGCTGCTTTTTTGCTGCCTCCTGCCTGCCATGCTATGGACTGTTTCTCCTCTGCTATGCCGCTCTGCTATGCTGCCCTGCCTCGGAGCCAGCCAACTATGGACTGAAACTCCTGGAAACTGTGAGCCAGAATAAACGTTTTCTTCTTAAAAAAATAATGACATGGCCAGTCTTGCTGGGAAACCCATCAGTTTTGACTTAAACTTGTTCTTCACCTTCAGCCCCGGGAAGCTGCTAAGCTAAGCAGCAGTAGGAAAACAATCTTTCTTCCCTCCCTCCCTCCCTTCTATTCTTCTTCTTCTCCTTCTTCCTCCTTTCTCTCTCCCTGCCTCCCTCTCCTTCCTTTTCCCTTCCCCTCTTTCTCTCCCCCTCTCCTTCTTTCCAGTCTTCCTTTCTCTTTTCTTTCCTTGCAATAGGCACCAGGTAAGCACAGGTCTTCCTTGCACCACACTTTCAGGCAATGCCCCAAAACTCACCTGCACACTTGCATATAACTAACATTTACCTAGTGTGCACAACTGGCAGGCATCATTAGTGGATTACCACATAGGAGCTCATCCAACTCTTGAGGTAAGAAGTACTGCTTAGATTCCAATTACACAGATGAGGAAACTGAGGCAAAGAAACTCAATTTTTCTTCCTTAGGTCATGTAGAGCTGCAGGCCATGTAGGTCCACACTCTGAGCCACTAAGGAAAATGACTTAGGGAAACCTTGAGTTTCCTTCTTAACATGATGGAGAGGGAAGATGCTAGAAGATGAAACAAATACACAAATGCAATGGCTGTGAATGTCCTGCCCCTTCTGTGCCCAGGGAACCCAATTAAAACTGCAGATCACCACTGCCAACATGCATTTATTGAGCACTTCTTGTGTACTCAGATGAAAAGAAACCAAGTCTTTGAGGAGGAAAAAAAAATTTATCAAGGACCATTAATAACATTTATGCTAAGATGTTTCTATTACAAAAAATTGTTTCTTCTTAGTAAAAAACAACAAAGGCAGCAGCTTTTTATTGAGCATCTACTATGTCCTCAGCATTGTACCTGATGCATTATCTGTGTAATTTCCAGTTCTCCCAGTAATCCTATGAGGTAAATATTCCCACCATTTTACAGAGGAGCAAAGAGAAGCTTGGAGGGGTCATAAAACAAGCCCAAAGCTTCATAAGCACAGAATAGCTGGGGAATGTTGCAAAGCCAGGTGCTTTTTACTGTTGACTATGCCAACCACACCGTCCCTGTTAATAACAACCAGGGTGTGCTGAGTGGCTCCCATGTGGCCTGCACTGAGCTGAGCTGTCTCATTGAGTTCTCATGATGTCCCTTCCACATCGCCCTCACTTTTGAAAGAAGTGAAAGCATCTAATTCAGAAGGCAGACCATCACATACTACCTAGTGAGAACACGGGGAAAATAGCTTTCGGAGAATGCCTGGTTTCTGTTTATCTAGACCCTTGTGCCCCGTGCAAGTCACCAGCCTGCTGTTTACTGGGGGCTTACGGCGTGGCACATTTGATTCTCTGCGCTGATGCCATTTTATCCTCACCACCTATGAGGCTGGTCAGCAGCCCATTTGACAGATCCACAATGAGGCCCAGAGTGGTAACCAATCAGACCCGAGGCCATTCAGCACATCACAGCTGCCAGGGGAACACCGCTGGGCTCCTAAGACTGGATTCCAAACCAGTGGTCCAGCTCCCTCTGTTGGAAGTGTTCTGGGAGAACGGGCTTGGGCCTCTGTTTCTCTGCATTGGGCTGTCTGTGTATTATAAAGGCACATGTCTTGAGCACACAGCTTGGTTAACTTTCACCTTTTTTTTTTCTTTCTAGTACGGGGGATTGAACACTGGCCCTCCAGCTTGCTAGGCAAGTGTTCCAGTGCTGAGCTGCACCCCCAGATCTATAACAATAATATTGCTATATCATTACAGTAATTGTTTATTTTAACTTATACCTGTTTAATCACCACCCTGAGCCCAAAGAGGGATTTTCTCCCTGCTTCCTTCCCAGAATTTTTTTTTTTTCTAGTACGGGGGATTGAACACTGGCCCTCCAGCTTGCTAGGCAAGTGTTCCAGTGCTGAGCTGCACCCCCAGATCTATAACAATAATATTGCTATATCATTACAGTAATTGTTTATTTTAACTTATACCTGTTTAATCACCACCCTGAGCCCAAAGAGGGATTTTCTCCCTGCTTCCTTCCCAGACTCTGTCTTCAGCCCTGCCAGGGGCAGCAACTGCTCTGGTTTCCAGCACTGTAGCCTTAGTTTCCCCATTTTAGAACTTCACAAAAGGGGAATCACACCGGATGTGCTCTTTTGGCTTCTTTCGCTCAGCAACATGCTTGTGAGCTTCACAGGGCTGCTCACGTATCAATGCTCTGTATTCTTTGTATTGTTGGGTAGTATTCCACCACATGTGCACAGAGCACTCCCTTGGCACCAGGGCTTTGTATGAGCTCCCTGAACTGAGAAGCGGGACCCTGCCCTGGCCTGGTATCTCACTGCCTTGCATATGGAGAATCAGACACCAGAGCACACAGCCAAGGCTTTGGGGTATATTCTTCGGGCAGCTCTCTCCATGGCCCCCCTGGCTGCATTGCCTCTGGGGAGGAGGCTGGTCCCCAGCACTGACCTGACCCGCATGCCCTGGAACATCTCTGTGCTGGTGTGAAAGGGAAGAACAGTGGTGGCGCTGACGCCTGGACAGTCCAGCAGCCCCAGGGTCAGGCTCTCCATGAAGGCGAAGGCCGATGCTTTGGAAGTGCAGTAGTCGATGGCTCCGGGGATGGCAGACAGCGCCAGCACAGAGTTGAGGCACACGATGTGGCCATTCTGCAGCTCCAGCATGCGAGGCAGGAAGGCCTTGGTGGTCTGAGGGTGCAGAGAGGGTCAGTGTGGAGCAGGTGCGACTCTCACCGAGCCCTCCACGCCATCCTGGGGAGAGCAGCCTGGCCCCAAAACATACCCTATTCTAGTGACCATGCTTTCCTGAAGCAGGGGTCCAGGGACCCCTGGCTGTGGACACTGAATTCATAGATCAGAAAGCCAAAGGCTCCCGGGGCTGCTCATTCCTCTCGTGTGACCACTTTGTCCTCGGACGTCCCTACTGGCCTCAGCCTCGCTCTCTGCTCCCATCTCACCTCACGCCCAGAGCTGGCCCGGGGTCAGGACGGCCCTTACCCAGAACTGGCCCAGGGTGTTGATGTGCTGGGACTTGAGGAGGGCGTCGTCGTCACTGTCCATCAAGCTCTTCCCGTGGACCACGGCGGCATTGTTCACTAGGATGGTGATGTCACCCACCTGTGGACGAGCGGGAGCCGGGGGCCCTGAGGATTCTGGCCTGGCTGGCTCGCACCTGTAGGCGCACAGACCAGGACCCACCTCCCCCAGCCACATGGCCTTGGGGAGCTCTGTCACTGGTCTGAGCATCAGTCTTGTTCATAAGATGTTGGTGGGGCCAATCCACCTGTGTCCGAGGATTAGAAATAATTTATGGCATCTTTTATACCTGGGATACAGCGCATCTACAATAAATGAGGTGATCATTGCACAAAAATAGTTAACATCGCCATGGGCCAGATACCTTAGAGGGGTAGTAGCTCCTCTTGGGGTTCACCGACGCACAGTCAGGTAGACGCCCAGAGTCCAGAGGATTTTCCCAGATGGCAATGGGACATTTGTCTCTTGGTTTAGACAGATAGGACCTCGACTTCCAAGGAGACAGAAGCTGACAACTCCTGTGGTGTAATCAGCCCAGTCCCTACTCGTGAAACCTGGACCAGGTTCATGGGAGAGTCCCTAAAGTTGCCTGGACAGTGCCATTCTGCCATAGCGAAGCTCTCTCCCAGGCTACGTGGGCTCTGTTTGCCCGGCATTGCCCTGTGTTGTGCTGTGCTGAGAGCAGGCCCTCTCAAGGCACTGACCTTCTCCCGGACTGCTTTGGCCGTCTGGTATACCTCCTCCCGGTTGCCCACATCACAGATGAAGTAGTGGCACTCAGTGCCCATCTGCCGAATCTCCTCCATTGTCTCCTTCAGGCATTTTTCAGTCCGGCCCCAGAGAACAATCTAGAAGGAGAGAATGGGACTGATCAGATAGCCATGAAACTCAGTAGCTTCTTGTTAGGGTTTAGATCAAAATTCTCACATGTGTTGAAGGGGATGAGTTCAAGAGCTTGTGTGCTGGCAGGGCGTGGGTCCCCGGGGTCTTGACCTAGAAGAATGCATTTCCCTCCCTGGCTCCTCCCTTCTCTCCCTGCTTCCTGGCTGCCATGGTGTGAGCAGCTGTCTCTGCTGCGACCCTCTGCCATCCATCCAGTTTCTGCCTTGGAAACTGGCCTGAAACTGTGAGCTAAAATCAACCTCTTCATCTTTAAATTGTGGGGGTTGGGTATTTTTTCCAAATGACAGGGAAGGTCACCAAGATGCATATTTTAAATTCATGGGTCTCCCTCCTTTTGCCCAAGAATATAGTACACAAAGCTAATTAACCATACATTAAAAAAAAAAAGAAAGAAAGAAAGAAATACAGCTGACTCCTGGGTGAAGCCGTAGTTTTTTAGCCCATTTTTATCAACTGATATGCTGTTTACAAGTCTTTCTGATACTCCTCCTAGCAGGATGCTTCCTGCCAGCCCAAATCCAGCTATCTGGTGTACTCTCTGCACAGTATTCTAGAATTCTCTCCTTTAGGGATCAGGTGGTCTCATCACCCAATAGGTCTAGAGCTGGGATTATTCACAGCAGCAGTTAGGAGGAGGGATGGTGCTGACCGTGAGGCCACAGGAACTGTCACCTCACTGCCGTCAAGCTGGGAAGGGAAGAGGCGAGGGGCCAGCGAGGCACCTGTGGTAAATGTGGGCTCCATGCGGCAGGAGGTCACCCTGGTAGGACCAACAAGGGGGTACATGAAGGGTTTGAGTAAACTAATGAATGGTCCGTCCGTAACAGACTCAGAAAAAGCCTGACATAGTGTGGCATACACCTATGATCCAGAACTCTGGGAGGCTGAGGCAGGGTGATTGCCAATTCCAGTCCAGCCTGGGCAATTTAGCAAGACTCTGTCCCAAAAATAAAAGAGGGATGAGATGTAGCTCAGCGTGAAAGGCCCTGGGTTCAATCTTCAGTCTCTCTCTCTCTCTCTCTCTCACACACACACACACACACACACACACACACACACACACACACTCGGCGGGAAGACTGACCTAAAGGAAGATGATACCTCCCCCCACACAAAAGAGCTCAGGGTTGGATAGGTGGGGTGACCACAGCCCTAAGAGTCAGCACAGAGGGAGGAGGGCTGGGACCCACACTGTGCAGAATAGAATCAGGGAAACCAAGAGCTGGAAGGCACTTAGAGATCTGTCCAATGAGTTTCTATTTTTCTTTTCCTTCTAAAATGATCAAGGAGGTACTGTGCCTACAATTCCAGTGCTCAGGGGAGGGAGGCAGGGGGGATCGTGAATTTGAGGCCAGCCTGGGCTACCACAAGTTTGAGGTTAGCCTGAGTTACCTAGAGAGACTCTGTCTCAAAACAAAAACAAAAACCAAATGAACAAAACCCCTTCAAACAAAAGCAAAACAAAGTCAGTGAAATCCCCCCATTAAAAAAACCCAAGATGAGCTGGGGATGTAGCTCAGTGGTACGGCGCCTGCCTTGAAAGCTCAAGGTCTTGAGTTTGATCCCTGGTACCGAACAAAAACAAACAACCCATTATGAAAACCTTAATGCATGAAGCCAGTAAGAGGAATAAATGACCCAGCTCTGTAATATTTGCTTACTCTAAAGACTGCTAATGAGAATGCAGGGCTGCTTTGGGAAGACAAACATGTGAAACTGGGGCTTAGGCACAGTCGCTGGGGTCACATTCAGCATGCCGGTCATTTGTGTATTTTGCTTTATCGCAGGACACAGACTAGAGTTGCTAAGGGTCACAGTTTACCAACCACGTACCCTGAAATCTGAGGGCTTTCCCTTAAACAGGAAGACTCCAAGACGGGGTTCGCTTGGTTCCCAAAGGGTTTGATTTTCTTTTTTAATCAGAGTCTTAAAAACTTTTAAACTATTTTAAAAAGAAAATACAAATGTTCCCTCAACCCCTAAAAATTCCTCTGGGAAAGTCCATTTTGAAAGCCCCACTCAGTCCAGCCACCTTGCTCACTTTAGCTGAAGTCCTGAAGTACAGGAAGCTTTGGCAAGGGACAGTCCTGTCACTTGTCTCCGTGACCACCCAAGTCGATCGGGGGCACACAGGCTGCGATCAGACAGGCTGCAAGGGATACTTTCTTGTCTTTTGAATGAAAAACAGAATGTGTTTCTCTAGGAAAGGCTGGAGGTTCAGCTCCGGGAGAAGAAAAGAGACAAACACTTGCTACAGGAAGGGAAGTTGGTGTGGCAACCATCTGTCCACCAGGCCCCATCTCTACCATCCTCCCTTATTATAATCCACCCATCCTCCGCCTGCCTGCCTGTCACCCACCCACTCACTCATCTACTCACTCACCCATCCCTCCACTTACCTACCACCCCTCCTTTCCTTCTACCCACCCATCCACCCATCCAAATCCATCCATCCATCTACCCATGTACCCACTCATCCACCCACCCATCCAACCATCCATCCATCCACCCATCCATCCACCCATCCATCCATCCATCTACCCATCTATCTATCCGTTTACCCACTCATCCATCCATCTGTCCATTCATCCATCTATCCGTCCATCCATCCATCCATCTACCCACCCATCCATCCACCCATCCATCCATCCATCCATCCATCCATCCATCCATCCATCCACCCATCCATCCATCCATCCACCCATCCATCTACCTGTCTGTCCGTCCGTCCGTCCACCCATCCACCCATCCATCCACCCATCTATCTATCCATCTGTTTACCCACTCATCCATCCATCCACCCACCCATCCACCCATCCATCCATCCATCCACCCATCCATCCATCCACCCATCCATCTACCCCCGTCCATCCATCCATCCACCTACCCACCCACCCGTCTGTCCATCCGTCCGTCCATCCATCCATCCATCTGCCCATGTACCCACTCATCCACCCACCCACCCATCCATCCATCGGCTTTCTTTCTCCTGCTCTGGTTACTTTTAGCTCACATGGGTAACAGGTCCATGGGGCTTGCATAGTATTCTAGGCTGAGGCAAAAAGGCCTCTAGAGACTCAAGAATTTCCAGGCAAGTGAACAGCAGGGAAAATCTGGGGACCTTGTTGGGAAGTCCAGTGGTCCAGCTGTGTGGGAGGACAGCCGATCCCCTCCAGGGGGTCCTGAGCAGTGGTCCGAATGGTGCCTTTCACTTTGGGACCTGCGGCTGCTTCACAGCACCAACAGGTGTGCTGTTCCTCACCCAGGGTGGTGGCGGCCAGGGTTTGGTCCCCGTGTCCCCACGGCTGGGTGGTGTGGAAGAGTTGAGTAGAGGTCATGGGCTGGGACCCCACCTTGGCAGGGCTGCTCCAGCCACCAGTTCTTCCCCGGGTCCCCTGCCGGGACCCTGTGGGGAATCTGAGTCACTGACCAGGAAACTGGCAGGTAAGCTTCCCTGCCCAGGTGGCTCTGCCTGACGCTGACATGACAAGTGCCCCGCCTGGTGCCAGACAGGGTGAGGCCAGACGGGGGAGGAGGGGTCTGCAGGAGGGAAGGGATGGAAGTCCAGGCGGGGTGCACTCGGTGAGAAGCCAATCTGGCCTCTTACTTAGTTTACTCCCAGCTCAGGGAGCACCCAGGAGGGGCGGGTCAGAGCCCTGGAATTTACTCTCTAGCTGTGCTCCTGAAATGAAAGCTCAGGTGGTGGCCTGACACCCCTGGCTTCCTTCCCTTCTGGGGCCAACAGTGAGCTCCTGTCTCCGCTTCGCCTGGGAACAGTTGAGCAAGAGGGAAGGGAGGGCGACCTTGGCCTCCTGGGTGTGGCCGGCACTGGCTGTGCTGCTGGGTCTGGGCAGGACTGTTGCCTAAGACCGGGGTCACCCCCTTGCCCCAGAGCTGCCCCTGCAGCTGAGACCTCTGCAGCCTCCCAGGTGAGGGCTGTCACGATCTGCTCCTCAGAGCCACACTCAGTGGGTGAGGGTGGCAGGGCTTGAACCCAGAGCCTTTCCCCCTGCAGATGCAACCTGAAGCCCCAGGTGTGGCAGAAGAATCTGAGCTCTGAGGACTCCGGTCCCAAGTCCCAAGTGTCTAGCACCCAGCATTCATTCCCACCCAGAGGGTCTTCTTGTGCCTTATCTTGTTCAATGCCCACAGCAAAGATGGGTTCGATGGCGCATGTCTGTAATCCCAAGCACTTGGAGGCTGAGGCAGCAGGATTGCTGCGAGTTCCAGGCCAGCCTGAACTACATAGCCAGACCCTGTCTCAAAAATAACAAACAAAACATCACTGCCACAACGCAACATCCACAGCAACCCTGTCCATCTACCTGCCGGCTCTGTTTGGAGAGTCCGCTGTGGGGTGGGCACTGTGCCAACTACCTGGGCCAAATGGACTGGGTTCCTGACTCAGGGAGCCCTGCTCAGTGGGGGGAGATGGAGTGGGAACAAGAAAACCACTGGCTTGAATGAGAGTAGGTGGGGTAAAGAATAAACAGGGGAACCTCCATTAAATTAGGGAGCGAGGAGGTAGCCATTGTGTCCAGGTATAGATAGGAAACTAAGCTCAGAGATGCCAAGTGTCTTGTCGCAGGTCACACAGCAGGAGCTAGGATGTGAACAGCAGTTTTGTCTGGCTTCACCCATAGTACCGCCATTCACACCTCTGGCTGGAGAAAACTCCTGGCCTCTCCTTCCAGGATCCTGTTGGGACCAAAAGTGCAACACCTTCCATGGGGAGGAGGCTGGGCCAGCCACACCCTCTTCGGTAGCCAGGAGAAGGATGAGTGCATGTCACCCGGGGCAGGGCTGGGGTGTGACATTGGGGTGAGGGCTGCGGCATTACCCGTGCAGGACGAGCTGGGGGGGTCCTTCCCAGGTCCATGGGAGGAAGTGTCTCTGTGTGATCGTGGCTGACTGCCATTTGCTTCTTTATGGCCATCTGTATGAG